AAATTAGCCGGGCATGGTGGCACATGCCTGTAGTCCCAGCTACTCGGGAGGCTGAGGCAGGAGGATCACTTGAGCCCAGGAGTTTGAGGTTGCTGTGAGCTAGGATGACGCCACGGCACTCTAGCCCGGGCACCACAGTGAGACTCTGTTTCAAAAAAAAAAAAAAAAAATGGCAGATGGAGGTAATTTTAGATATGTATAAACAATGCTGCCCCTAAACATACTTCCCTACTCAGAAAGTGTATTTTTTCTCTAGAGGACTAACATAAACTTAAAAGATTGACTTGTGCAGTGTCACTGGGAGACTAAGTGTGCTAAGGTTGTTTCAAAGCAAGACTCAGGTGTGGGCTCTGGGCACCCTCTCCTTGTAGTACCCCAGACCTTATACCCCTTATAACACTGATCAGATCTTGTTCAGCAAAGATCACTACATATACACTGGGAGGCTTGGAGTACAAGGCTAAAAACACAACAAAATTACTTCAGCTATAGTATCACAAAGCTTCTGAGTCACCACAGAACTCATAAAACAAAATGAAATTGCCAAAGTACAGCATGTTTAAAACACATACACACCAAATCAACTCTAGTGTTTTTGACATAATATCCCCCAAGGAGGAAAAAAATAGATTGTGACCAAAATTAATCATGCAGCTTTTACTCTAATTTCCTGTCGTGGAATTTCAAAGCCAAGAACTGTTGTTGAACTTCCATCCCACCATTTCACAGATGAGCCAAACTTTCTTTGACTCATTCCTCCCTTAATCCAAAGAGAGCTCTAAATAAGCACAGCTGAGCTTCTGATTGCTGAAGTGCTGCTGAGCAGAGAGCTTGGTGCTTTAATTTTTTCTTTTCTGGTCTTTGTTGACCATTGAGACTCCATGAGTTATTGCTTTATCTCCTATTTTTGTGTTCTGTTGTTGTGGTTGTGCATTATAAATGCAATCTTTCTATTTAGAAATATCCCACTGAAGATGAATAAATATTATTCATACAAATAACTTTCTTTCCAGCTATCCCAAAGTCATTCTTTTCAGATCTAAAGTCATGGTCATGCTCAAGGAAACTTTCAAAATCATTTATTCACTCATATTTCTTGGTAAGTTTCCATTGACTGCCTGCTCTATATAAGCAGAGAGGGGGATGCCCCACATTGCTATTAAAGACCCAAGAACACTGTCCAGGATTCCACTCATTTTTAGTGCATCACGAGATAGAATTATCTAGGTTAACACACGATAAGCCCTGTTGACTGACTCTGCTTTCATACCCAGAACCACGGAATCCTCTTCCCGTTAACCATCCTCTTTTCTTCCCTGTGCTTCTAGGGACCAGGCAGAAGTTAGCAACTCTCTGGGAGAATTTTCAGGTGTGTGTTTTTGCCTTGTGTTTGGTTTTAGCTTCCTGTCTATTCTCTAAATGTTTCTTTTTTCAAAGAGCCTAACTTCCTTTGTTAGAAACTAAGTCTCCCTGACCTCTTTTCCCTTCTGTTTCTAATGGTCCTTGAAATGAAAATAGTTTGTTGAGTTTCCTTATTTGTACTTGGGCAGCCTACTCAAAGACTCTCAGGAGAGTAGCCGGTGACCTGTGGTTCTCTCTGTTGAGAGAGAATGCATGTTTTGCATTTTGGCAGCTAAACACAGGGATGGATTTAAAAATGAACACATAACTACTTATATAATAATCTTGAGCATGATATCAAACATTCCTTAAAGCAAAACTTCAATTTCTAATCTTCCATTACTTTGGTCTCATGAATGCATTATGAATGTAACAATATGGCATCTGGAAAGGCTTACCTCAAGTCAAATATTTCTTCTTGAAGATGCTCTACTTTGCAAGGTACCGCTCATGGGAACTTATACCCTAAATAACAACATTTTTGCTGGTTTCAAATTCTGGATTTAGATTTATTTTCTCCTAAAATTGTGAGTGTAGTTGTGATTGCTCTTTTACTACCATGTAATACTATTTCCTTATTGGTGGTCCTGTGAAAATTGTGTATGGTTACACCCACTTCCTTTAGTACTTCTCCGATAAACCCAAAATCTTCCAAATGGTGCTTTGCATATCATGATCGGATATATTTTTATCAAAGTCTCAAGACCAAACCTCCTTCCTTGTCATATGTGTATGATTTATTTTTTGACTTCCTGGCTTAGTACTTCCTGGTTTAGGGTTACTGTAGTTATTGTCTTCAGTAATTGTTCTTCGACTGTAACTTTTCTTTGCGGAAATTAGCCCAGATTTCTTACTGTGGACATGGCTTTGACTTGACTTTTAGTCCTTTTATGTTCCAAAAATAACCCAAGGATTCCATTAATTCTTCCAACCCATCATCTGAGTGAAAAAAAAAAATCTATCAAACTAGTTACTTGATTGAGCCAATAGATTAGGATTACGTTGCTGTATATTGTGGATTCCAGGCATATTAGTCCGTAGGTCAAATCCTCATCTCTAGTTTATTACTAGTTTGAGGGATTACTTTATTTACAGTGGCCTAACTACATGAAATTATGTGTTTAAAATGTGGCTGGAATCGATAGGGTATACAGATGCAACTCCAATAACACACCTGCAAAACTCCAATTTAATACATGTGATAATGAATAAATTATAGTATTGTGTTGAAGGGAATTGCACGGGAAGCAGAAAAGCTGAGATTTGTCCCAGCACGACACGGCCACAACACATCTTTCTTAACCCATCTGGGCCTGCATTTCTTATATGTGCAATGAGGAATTGGACCTGTGAACAAATGTGAACCTGAAAGAGCCCATCCTCCAAAACAGATGTGGCTGACTGGGCCTAAATTTTAAATGGAGCCAAGTGGCCGTTTGCTGACTAAAGGTCACATGCACGTACTTTGAATCCCCCCAAAACGCACACCTCTGTTCAACTTTGGGACTCCAGAACTCACCTGAACCAACCAATCAGAGCTCACCTGAACCAACCAATCAGAGCTCATCTGAACCAACCAATCAGAGCTCACTCGCCTCAGCCAATCAGGGCTCACCTGAATCAACCAATCAGGGCTCAGCTGTATAACCAATTAGAACTAAGTGAATTTCAATCCTTCATTTGCATAAATGGACCTGATTGGGAGCATGGGTGGGAGCTTCTGCTATAAAACTCAAACCCTCCTTTTGTTCTCTGGAATGCCCCTTTCTTTTACACATGAGTGTGCATCTCCTTGGTTGGCAAACTGTTCACTGGAATAGTCTCTTTCCTCCACATTCCTTTTCAGAGAACTTTTGTTCACAGACTATGGTTTCTGAGGCCATTTCTATCTCTGAAGAGTTAAGACACTACTCTCAAATGGAGATCAGCTGCCACTTCCTGACTTTGGAAGATGATGCGGATAATTAAAGGATCCTTCAAATTTCTATGTCTTTTCTTGTCTTTGGTTTCGGAACATAGTTTTATTCAGTCTTATGGCAGAAAACACTTTTTAGTCAAATGAGCTAGATCTTGCCATGAAACAAGGAATAAATGATTAATTTGGCAGCATGAAATAACTCATTTAGGTTGCTTTGTTCTACATTGTTTTATTCAGTAATTAGCTCCTAGGACCTCTGGGAGTCTGCTCCATCCAGACACTAACAGTCTCTCTCTAGTTCTAGGGGAGAGAATGATCTTCCCACCATGAACAAGTTAATCCCTGTGGTCCATTAGGGAGGCGATGACCTGGGGAGCTATTTGCCTGTTGAGCGCACACATTTGGAAAAATAATGCTCTCCATTTTTCATCCACATCAATGAGAAGCGAGGAGTGGCCCTTTAGCAAGACGTAACTATGCAATAATGTAACAAAACTGGCTAACAGCACTTCATTTATTATTGGGCTAAATGCTCATCATTTTTTGTAAAGGGTGAATGCATAACCTCTGCAGAGTTACAGTTTATACACAGTTGATTTCCATTTACAAAGGCAGAAAGTCCTCTTCTCTAAATGTCAAGCTTTGACTTACAAAACTCCCGTTTTTTTCTTATGTGAAATGTGTGTGCGTATTTAAAAAAATGTTTAGCAATTAGATGGGAGAGAAGGGAAATAGTACTTGAAATGTACAAGAAGGGAAAACACCTTTCAAAAATTCCAAACAAACCAACAAACTCCCCCAAACTGAGGGGTTGTCATGGTCTTAATAGAAAAGACTCATACCACACAATTCTTTCCTTATGTGCTTCCTCCAGTAGCAGAAGGTACTGGAAAGACTGGCTTTTGCCAATAGAGGGAGTTTGAGTCTGGAAAGTCTTACAATAAAATTGGTGTAATTTCATACTGCAAAGATGCACTTTGCTTAAGCAATTAAAATAAAAAATTAAGTGCCTACCTGGGTAATTCCAGGGCATTTATAAGCAAATAAGACTAATGAGAAGCTCTCATAGCCTCTAATTAAAAGAAAGTAACTCACTCTATGATGCAAAATTTCTTGGATGTTTGGAATTGTCACACATGATAGGGCATGTGATTCCTTACTGGGAGCTTTTACTTCCACAGGGCCAAAGTCCCTTTTGTATGTAGCACATCATTCTGGAAGGCAGGGGACAAACAGATTCAGAGCTTGATACCCACAGATCTGGCCCCTAAATAGACATTTGGGAGGATGAGTAAGGAAAGAGGCAGTATTTTAGTAACAGTTGTAACTGGAAAATGTCACTAAAATGGAACGGGAGCTTACATGGGGCAAGCTGGAAAGCACTTTCATTTGAAGCAAGTAGAACAACGGAGGCACTTTCCTTGACCTTAGGTATTTTTAAACACTTGCTTTTTCATGCCCAATGGCCAGATCCTTCTTTTAGTTTGGTGGTAACTGGGGAGAACAAAAGGATCTGGGCATGGGAGAAAGTGTGAAATCAAGGGAGGAAAAGGGTATGCAATGGGGAAGGGAGGAAGCAGGAAGGTCCACTTTGCTGAGTAAACAATATTTCAAAAGATGGGTCCTGCTATATTCTTCCCCCAATCAATTTGGATGAAAAACAGAAATACTACTTTTGTAAACAGTTCATTTTTAGTTTGCCGTGGCAATATAATATGGAAAAAAATCAAGCTACCTATCAATTTAAGCATTCATGGAGTGTGAATCTTTGGCAAAAAACGTGGACCTGCACCAATTCAGATGGTGTTTGCGTTCAACCAGGTTCCAAAATCATGGCTTCGTCAATTTCTTAAAGTTTTCTTGTGTCTTCTTGTGATCAGGCATTCAGAGGTATGTGTTGGTTCTAATAGCTTTGGTAGAAACATGCTGAAAATAGAAATGGATATAAAACGCCTAGTCTTTAGGCTAATTTGGTATTGATTTGTAATGCCTGAGTAACTGGAAATTAGTCAATTTTTGACATAATGCAAACGAACGTGAGACACATGGGTGGAACAGCAGAATCAGAAAAAAAACGTTAGTATTGTAGTCCCATGTTTTGTAAAAGACATCAAGTAAGGCCACCAATACAGGAACCAAGTTCCTGTCTTAGTTTTTCTGTGATGATTTCCTATCAGCTTCATGTTCATGGGCAGGAGAGATATAAAATGCAAGATGGCCTTTGACTTTGTTTCCAACGTTTTCAGCAGTGGCACTGTCTGAAATCCGGGCCCAGCATTCTTGTAGAGTACGTGGTGTGGATGCTTCCAGCTGACAGGGAGGACGTACGTGGCAGTTGGCTGACTAGTGTGCTGTCCTTGGGAGGGCTCGCAGGGTGGTGGGGCAAGCCTCTGTGGGAAGGGAATTCCTTTTGGTTCATGCCTTCCTTTTTGGCTGGAGCGTGGTCGTGGAGATTGGCTGCCATTCTCACACTTAGATGGGGAGGAGGCGGGTCTCAAGCAACCTCAGATAATCAAACAGCAGCTGTGACCCTCAGAGCAGCGTTTCTTCTTTTTCTTGGGGTGAAAAATGGTGAGAATTGCTTCATCAAAAACCGCTTTGAGACCTTTCTGAGTCAGGGCGGAGCATTCCAAGTAGCACTGTGCTCCGATCTTAAACACAAAAAAGAAACTTTTGAGAGAAAGAAAAGAGAGAAGCAAAGGGTATCAACCCCGTGCCCAGCCAAGTACTTCTTGTCCCACAAATAGCCTGGGGGTTGGTTTGGATGATGTTCTCTCTTTTGCATTTCAATTTGCATGTGCTATCCTAATTTTTTTGGTATTTTTATATTTTTTACATTCTTAGATTAGCAATACATGGTTATGGATCACTTTTGGAAAACAATAAATTCTGAACGTGATCCATAGGCATTTATTTGTAAGACAAGAATATAAAAAATATAAAAATCTAAAAAATTAGGAGAGAATTCAGAACCAATAATATGATTTAAGTATATTTTGTGAAGAACAAGGCTGCGTGATGTTGTTTTCAGTATCCTCTCATTTGTATGCAGAACGTGTAAATCACATACAAGTGAAATGTATCTCCTTCAGTACGGGATAAGGCAAAGTGTCAGCTTGGTTGATAAAGCATATAGAAAGAGAGTGGATGATATGGTTTTATAGGTCATTCTGGATTAAAATGCACTAGTGATAAGGTATCTCTCAGCAAGGTATTATCTAACTGGTATTTTCACATGGTGGAATCAAGCATTGAACACAATCCCAAAAGGCAACAGATGACATTTTATGTCATTGTTAGGAAATTCAGTTCAGTTTTAACATACTTTAAAAGGCCTATTTTAAATAGTTAAAAAACTCCAAAACAAATAAAAGTAAAAATCACAAAATACATTTACTGCTAGTGATAACCTCCTTGTCAGTGTATAGTCTGGACATTTAAACGATAAAGTATTTTGTACTTGCCTAGGGCTTTATTTCAAAGCTTTTGGTGATTTGATACTATGGTGGATTTGATAATCATAAAATCCCTATGAGATATATAGAAATTCAGGCTAGAACCGTAGATTCTCATTAAAAAGAAAATCATAGGCTGTACAGACCACGTTTGGCAGTCAGCTTCTTGTGAAGCAGATCTGGGGTTTTAATTGCTCACAAGCTCGTTATGCGCCAACTATATGATGTGGGCCTTCTACTATTAAGGACATCTGAAGAAATGATTCTAGTTTTTGCTTCATAACATAAGAATAACTTTGAAAAATTAAAGCAGATTTGGAAGAGTCTGGCTAGAGGTGAGCTAGAAGCCAGCAGATCAATGGGTAAAACAGGGTAGTCAAATCATATGCCTGTTATGGCCAGAAGCTTATGTAAATAAGTAAAGTGGGGTTAGTTCAAGACAATAGGGAAAGGTGGGGACTGCGGTGCACCACAGAGAACATGCTCTGCTCTGGAGTGGCCAGTCTTACCCAGCTTCTCAATGGGAATGTCGGTTCGCTATTGCCCATTTTTGTATTTTTCAAGGGGAGTTGGAAATTTGGATTTTTATTTAATGATAACCAAGTTTTAAAATACTCTGTGGGCCAAGCAAGACACTGATATGGGATTTATTTGGCAACAACCAGTCAGTTTGCAATGTGTAGACTAAAGGAACTTGTGGTTTAGTTTAGAATAGAGTGGAAATAGCCCCAGAAAGGTAAAATGAATTGTTTAAGGGCATTCAATGAGAAAACGAAAGAACTAGACCTAGAATCTGGGTCTCTTGATGTATGTTCTTTTCCTTGTTCCATGACAGTAACTGTGACCCTTATCACTCAGCTCTGCAAAAAGCTGGCCAAGGTGACAATTAATGAAATGAGGTTGCTCACTGATTTGCGGTATGCCCAACATTTGGGTAAGCTGCTGGCCACAGATATGAAAACTTAGCATGAAATCGAGTTGGTTGGGCCCAGAAACTATTTCCTAGCTTCTCTAACAGATATTACATACTTTTTCCCCCCCGCCCAACAATAATGGTTACTGTATGAGCCAAAGGAAAATACCAAAAGAAAAGATGTTGGATGTTGAAAATCTATTTTATGGCTTTGTTTTTGACCATGGCTTGGCCTTTAGTTTAGGACATAACCTTTTTATATGTATATACATAGATATGTGTGTGCATGTATAAAATTAAAAACAAATACAAGAGAGGAGGAAAGGGCAGAGGAAATTTTCCTAATAATGTCATGACATGTCATCTGTTGCATTTTGGGATTGTGTTCAATGCTTGGTTCAAACACATTTGAAAAGCACACTAGCCTAATGAAGGTGCCATCTGAATGGCTTGACTGTTTGTAATGTGATAGCTCTTGTCAGTCATGCTGAAAAAATACCTAGAAAGCGCTGTGGCGCTGTTCTATCTGGAATACCCCCCCACTAACGATAGCAAGCCTCTGACTGATTCTGGAAATTCCAGGAGAGCTGGGCTGAGCTCACTCACACTTGGGGTCCTGCAGGGTGGGCAGGGGACTCACCCCTCCTTCTCCCCTGACTGGTGCTGACTGTGTGTGAGGGTTTGCCTTTTGATGGGGCTGGAGGAGCCCTAACTTGTCTCTCCCAACTCAGACAATTCTGAAGATAATGAAACAGCAGATAAAGGCATTATTGTGTAACGGAGTTAATACAACATTATGTTGTACTAGTCGTTCCAGGAAAAGTAGCCAACAGATTATGGGTGTGATTTGGGGAATACGTGTGGGAAACAGAGCCGAGTTAAGAGGTAGGTATTGTTGCCATGTGTCAAGTGCTCTGAGAGAAGAATTCATTCTGGTTCAGGGAAAAGGCATAGCCATGTTAGAGCAATTGTAAAAAAGACATCATTTGTGCTCTCAAAGACGGGAAATGGAAAACAGTCTTAAGGCTTTTCTTCTAGCAGCAACTTAATCTGCTTCTTGGAGTAAAATGACCTACACAGCCAAGTATCTAGGATCCATGTGTGGGAGCTCAGGATTTGAGGACTCTTGCTTAGATACGTAGGAAGCAACACAGAACATGCTTTCCCCATGACATCTTGTCGTGAAAAAAGTAGAAATTGAGGATGTAAACTGAGAGGACACTTTTCTGATAATTTTGTAATAGTTAAAACTTATTGTCTCAAAAGCTGGGAAGTTTATCAGAGTTGTACAGAAGATATAAGGCTCTGACAAGAAGAAATTAAAAAACAAGTAAACTCACAATGATTAATCACGTGGAAGAAAACCTGGTACTTCTTCCAGGTGGTTCTAGTGGTGTCAGGACATGTTATGGAATAAGAGAGAAAGTGACCAGAAAGAATGAAGGCAGAGAGGGCTTCCTGGCCGGGGACGTGCCCGAGAGGGCACAGAGATTCAACAACAGCTATAGTTCAGTGGGTCGGACCTCGTGGCACCGAAGCTCATTTCATCGTCACAGGAACCTTATGAGGAAGGTCTATCACCATCCTCACTTTACAGCTCAGGAAACTGAAGTCACCTCTCTATGGCTACACAACTAAGACAATGGCAGAGATTCAAATTTGTTTTTCTCCCAACCCGAGGTTTAACCACTCTGCTGGGGTGTTTCTAGAAAACGTTAAAAAAAAACAAAAACAAAATGTGGCTGAAAGAGCTAATGAATGAACAAATGGGAAAAGCTATGGACGTAGTGAGGGTGACGAGAGAAGGGAAGGAACAGGAAGGCGTTTCCTGTCAGTGAGAAGATGTTGGTGGAATAAACAGAGTCAGCCGGCATCTAAAGAGATGGCCAGTCGTGGGGAAGTTCCTTATTCCTTATTTGAGAATGAGGAGAGCTACTCAGAGAGGGCAAAGAGTGAGCTCAGAAAAGGAAAAAGAACCAAATGGCTTGTGAGAGCAATTCTCTCTCGACAGCTCAGCATTATGATGAAATTGCTGAAAGAGGAAGGCGCGTCTGGGCTGGGTGGATTTGCTGCTGATCTGAAGCCTGCCAAGCAGAGATGCCAGCTCCGTGTGGGTGACGGCAGTGTGCTGTTTGAGGACAGGATACTACGGAGTGGTGGGGACTGTGGCAGACTGAAGGATACACAGCTCATCAGCTCATCTGAAAGACTGTTTTGAAGTTTCACTCGATGAGGAAATGCTGGCCTCGAGTGGCTAGACAGTCTGAATTTTTTTAGAAGCCAGAAATGTGTATATTTATGCAAAGTTTCTAAGGTGTTCAACGTTGGCCACTAAATGGCATTAAAAATGTCTGTGTAGACTGAGCAAAACATTTGTGGGTAAAATGTGGCCTATCAGTGTGCAGTTTGCTCCCCATGCCTTAAAAGATGTCTTTGCACATACTGGTCTCCCTGTCCGGAATCTTTGCCCCCAGACCCCTAACTTTCTCCACCTGACAGACTCATCCTCGGCCTTCCAACCTGACTCAGGGGTCAACTACTTCAAGAAATCTCAATCCTCCTTCCCTGAAGGGAAGTGTTAGTCTCTCCCTTCCCTCTAACACCTTGGTTTGTTGCCCAGATGCCTGTTCCTGTGCGCATTCGGGTGGCATGCTTTGTCTACCCGTCTCCCTCCTCTTCTGGCCTGTGGGTCTTTGTAACCCAGATGCCACCAGTGACGTGACTGACTTTCAACGACCGTGGGAGAAAGAGAAAATGACCAGTACACAAATAAGGCAGGTACCAGGGACTCTTTCAGTCAGGAGGAGGGTATTAAAGACTCCGGTTGATTAACATGACTGAACATTGATTACAGGATTTTTGCGGCAATTTTACTGCTTTAAATCCCACCTGTGCATGTTAAAAACACAGTAGGAAACTTAGCAAGTGCTAAGTTAAAGAGTGACAACAACAACAAAAGGCACAGCGTTCAGAAGATGGCAGGAGAGGGCAGAAAGAGGCCAAAGAGTGAAAAAAGAAAAATGCTAAAGCATTGTATCCAAAAATACCTTAGAAGTCTCAACTTCCAAGATCGTGTTTAGGTTGTACCAGATGGAATTGGGAAAGAGAATGCACAAAGAATTATTGATATCATCTTAGAGCTAAAGTGTAACATCCAGCGGTGCACCTGGCACACATTAGGTGTTTAATCAACTACTGACAAATAAATCTAGCAAGAACATGGACATTTACAAATGTGTAAAGAATGGGAAAAGTAGGCTGAGGATTAAAAAACACAATAATGGAAAGAAAAGGGAGGATAAAACAAGTGAAGGGATAACAATGAATATTTATTATAAATTAATACAAAACATTTATGTAAATGTGGTTGACTTTGGAGTATAAAGAATTGTAAATACGTGTGATATGAAAATGTACTTTAAAAATAAGATGCCCTTTGGGACCAAAAAGAAGGTAGATTAAACAATGCTTGGGAAATTGAAAAGTATTGGACAAAAGGAATCAGATATGAAAAATCTGAACTTGCAAAGCCTTTAAGTGATGGGGAGAATTTGCACATTAAAATACGAATCTTAAGCATATAAAAAAAAAGAAGCCCCAAACCTAAGGGTTTCTTTTCAGATTGTAGGAGGGAGTAGAAGAGGGGTTGGTTAAGGCAGTTCGTATCCTAGCTCTGCCACTTCTTAGCTGTGTGACCTTCACCTCTCTGAGCCTCAGTTTCCTCTAGGAAAGTAAAGATAATAATATACACACCTCAGGGGGTTGCTGTGAGGATTAATTAAGACAAGGCGTGTAAGTGCTTGGCATCTAGTCTAGCACGTTATAAACACTCCATAAATGCTAGTTGTTATGATAAACTACTTGACAGAAAAGTCAGAGAGTACAGAAACTTAAAGCATCTCTATAATTACAGGAATTGTGATAAAAACAAGTTAAAATCTTGCCTGATTTTCTTCTAAATTGGATTTTGTAAGCTAAACATGTTTCTCTCTGTATGTGAGAGCAGTTGCTAGGAGAAGCTGGCAAAAGGCAAGTGGTGAACTCAGCCATTGTTCCAAAAATAAGTATGAAACGAGATGGGAAGCTTCGGAATGACTTCTTCGCGGAGGGAAAAACAACTTCCCAAGTGAGAAGTGAGGCTAGAGGCTGACCACGTGCAGGTGGGAGATAGCCCTAGAGGCAAGGGACACAGAAAACAAGACTCAGAAAAAAGCCGGTGCCAGCCAGTGGGGACCTCCGGGTTGGGAAAGTGTGCGGCTGGGAATCACATACAGTTGTTTATGGAGCCACTTATTTATGTATCTTAATGAAAGCATTTGAGGAGAAGGTAGACTAACCTATAGACATGGACCCATTTTACCAGAGGAAAAATATACGGTTGAAGAGCTAGTTTACACAGTGGTCAGGTGCTGGTGCTGGTGCTGGTGATGTCCACACAGGTGGATTAGAGTTTTTGACTTGGTTATTATGAGCTCTGTGAATCAAACGTGCTTGTCTCCTAAGACTCTGTTTCCTCATCTGTAAGGATGACAAACACTATCTGCTTAAGAGGGTTATCGTGAGGCTGTCAAATGTTTAGCATCCTAAGAACTGTGTGAATGTCTGGTACTAATTAGTATTGACTTTACAATGCACAGAAGTAGGAAGAGTTTAGTATCTCAATCAAGTATTTGTGAGATGTTCTCATGTATGGCACCTGTAAAAAACATAATCTTATTTAATTCATTTTTAGTTAAGAGTATCATACTTAGTTTTGGTGTCTATAAGCAAGGTTTTTTTTTTTTTTTTTTTTTAAATAGAGATGGAGTCTGGCTCTGTTGCCCAGGCTAGAGTGCAGTGGCTCAATTATAGCTCATTGTAGCCTTGAACTTCTGGGCTCAAGTGATCCTCCTGCCTCAGCCTCCCGAGTAGCTGGGACTACAGGCATGCGCCACCACGCTTGGCTAATTTTTTCTATATATTTTTAGTTGTCCAATTAATTTCTTTCTAATTTTAGTACAGACAGGGTCTCACTCTTGCTCAGGCTGGTTTCAAACTCCTGAGCTCAAACAATCCGCCTGCCTCGGCCTCCCAGAGAGCTAGGATTACAGGCGTGAGCCACCACGCCCGGCCGGAAAATAGAAATTTTTAAAATCTCTGGCCTGGATCCATTTATTTGTGACTAAATCAATGATGAATCAGATTCAAGTTATGAAAAGGTGATTTATAAGCCTCCTCTGGCATAAAGTACTTCCATCCTCTTGTGTCCATTTTAGTGGCTATTTTGCACACATCTTGATGGTTATGGGGAGGCAGAGATTTGGTATCTGACAAATACTTTCTAAAGCATTTCCCCAATAAAATAATGATTCATGTTAAGCTCTGAAGAATGAACGTTGGGCCAGGTGCAGTGGCTCACTGGGAGGCCAAGGTGGGAGGATTGCTTGAGGCCAGGAGTTCAAGGCCAGCCTGAGCAACATAGCAAGACCCCTTCTCTACAGAAAATAGAAAAATTATCTGGGTGTGGCGGCATGTGCCTGTAGTCTCAGCTACTTGGGAGGCTGAGGCAGGAGGATCACTTGAGCCCAGGAGTTTGAGGTTGCAGTGAGCTATGATCATGCCGCTGCACTCTAGCCTGGGTAACAGAGCAAGACCCTGTCTCAATTAAAAAAAAAAAAAAACAAACGTCCACAAAATTGGTTCCAGCTCTGAGAAAAGTTACTTTTTGGTGTATGTTATTTCTCCAGATGCTGTTCGTGACACAATCCAGGCTCTCTAAGCGGCTATTCATTATATGGCAAGAAATACTGAACAAATATAACCCTGCCAGATGCTAATCTAAGTCTCTCTCAAGAAAATCACAAAATGCTCCTTACGGGGTCATTGAAATGAGTTACATCGATAATAAGTAGTGAGATTTACAAATACATCTCTAATGACCCCCTTTATTCACAACAAATATGGCAAGTAGATGTTGCAGAGGTTGCCAGATCAAATGATAAATGCTTTAGCTGTTTCAATTCACCAAGTTTCTTTCTTAACGAAAACCAGACGATGCTGGCTGCCAAGAAGGCGAACCAAATGGCCCCTTCCAGCCCGACCAGAGCAGAGGAGGGGGCGCAGAGCAGAGAAAGAAACATTGCACTTTAAAACAAAACCCTACGTTGGGCGCCCATTCCAAGCATACAACAAGCTCTTCTCTCAGCACACACTTAAAATTCAGTTCAAATCGGACTGTACCGCTTTTGCAAGCTTCACCCCATGCTCGTACGTGAGAGGTTTCTCTTTCATATACAGCAGACGGGCCAAAGTTTTGGGGTCATCACGGAGATCAATCTGGCAAAAAACACACATGGGACAAACTCATTTATTTTTTCAAGCCTTACCAGATATTTTAAACCGTGAGAGAATAGAGTCTTTTTTTCCCCATTAACAGCTTTGAAGTTGTTGAATTTTAAGGAAGTACACATACCCGCCCATGTTATGTCTGAAAATGTAAAGTGATTTCTTTGTAAATGTATACACCAGGCTTTCCTTTCATTTTCCCCTTCAAAACAGTTACCCTGGGAGCCGAAGACTCACTCCAGTGATGCTGTTGCCGTCTCAGATGCTTTTGAAATTTTCTATTCATTTCTAAATTCCTCTTACAGGGCATACAAGATAACCAGTCTTCATATGATGCCTTATTTGGTCCCAGATTATATTACTCATTATTTCATAGTTCATTTCCTAGCTCTCAATTCATCTTTTTTTTTTTTCCCTTTTCCAAATAAAATCTTCATCCTCAAAGGGATGAAGATTTGCTACCTGTGAGGATATTCTAACAAAGTGTTGCAGGCTCTGGAAGGCAAGTCCCAAAGAGAAATTTTCTTTCTTTCTTTTTATTTATTTTTTTTTTAATTTAAATTTGTCTTTTTTCTGAGGACCTCACCAGGTTCTTAGCAAAGAGAAATTTTCAAAGGGTTTGTCAAGGAATAAGCATCAATCTTTTCAAAGGTAGGAATTATTCTGAAGAGAGCATGTATATCTGGATTAGGTTTGATAATTAAATATTTTGGTTGCTTTAAAATCTCCCTGCATGCATGAACACATGCGTATACAAATGGGGGTGAGCGTGGGCACACAGGCTGATGTCTTAAAGAAAGACGAACACATCTATCTATTAGGGTTCCATTGACAAGCACATCACCAGCTCTACTAATCTGCGTGTTTTGCCTTAACTGTTCAATTTAGTGCCCATCTGTTATAAAATCGGCTCAAATCACTCACAAAGGTGACTGGATGTCCTGTCACACATTGGGCAGCAGGGATTCAGGCTCCATCAATATGGGCAAACATTATCATCTGGAATTTAAGGCAAAAGACTTCATTTACATAAATATCTTTCAGAGCAAAAGCATACTCTGATTTATGGATATGTGAATTCTTCTACTTTGTTTAAGTAAATACATATATGTGTATCTGTCCACATCTTTTTTAGGAAATATTTTTTTCTTTCCTTCATGTTTTAAAAATTTTTTTCTTTGTCAAACAGAACGTAAATCGAAAATAGAAAGAAACATGATATGAAACAGATAACAATAAAGCCCTCCAGTATCATTACGTTCCTTTGTCTTTGGGATAGTAGTTTGGATTTTAAAATAGCTAAGAACAAGACCCATTTAAAACTATAAAACATAAGAACAATCTTTAATACATTGGTGCAATTGCCTTACTGTTGGAAATTGAAACTATGGGACTTTGTTAGCTTTCAGAACACTATAAAGTCTTTCACGATCATGGGTTTGTTTATCTGCTGTACTTGTTTTAACTTCTTGTCTTGTTTTAACTTCTTGTCTAAGGTGTAGGAGACCAAGGGCTTTAAAGGGACTAGAGAACAGTAATTTCTTCTGGAGTCTTCCTTCCCCAGAAGTGTTATTAAGGAGTTCTTGTCATCATATGCCCATTCTGGTTGCTGGGGTCGTTTTGACACTCACACCTATTTTGTCATTTTAAAACAACTGTGGATTTCAGATATAAAAGATATTAGATAATGGGTACAATTGACATCCTTACCTCATTACCCTGATTCAGGCCTGGAGAAAGGTGTCTATTTAAAAAATCACTTTGTTATTTCTTTTCTTTTCTTTCTTTCTTTTCTCTCCCTCCCCCCATCTTTTTCTCTTTCTCTCTCTCTCTCCCCTCTCTCTCTCTTTCTTTCTTTCTTTTTTTAGAGACGGAGTCTCACTATCTTGCCCAGGTTGGACTTGAACTCCTGTGCTCTGGGGACCCTCAGCCTCAAATAGCTGGGACTATAGGTATAGGCCTGTACCACTACACTCATCCACTTTGTTGTTTAAAAAAAGCTGAAAGGTTAACTTTTAAAGGCTATATCAAAACTTCTTGCTTCATATTAAATAGCTCTATTATCTCTTAAACTGTGGGCTGGATGATCACGCACACCTTCAGAACTTCTGTCCACAGGATTGATCTGTCTGAGACACTTTTCCATAGTGTTCAGCAATATGCGATGTTCGTGAGGTACGTAAAGGGTCTTTCCTTTTTCGCAGCCCACCCCGCCCTGCCATCGCCCACATTTTAACCTGGGTCCCTATGAGGACGTAAGGCACGTGAGGCATGCAGTCCTTGAGCTCGGGGACCCACTCCTCCTGGACATTGTGGTAAGAGGCAGGATTCACGACAGAGAAGCAGATCAAAAACACATCCGTGTTGGGGTAGGAGAGCGGCCTCAGCTGGTTGTAGTCCTCCTGTGGGAAGAGCAGACAAGAGTTTGTACAGCTTGGGTAAGGGGTGGGGGTCCCCTGTGGCTCCAGGGTAAGAGGGCAGGTGCGAGTCCACTGCAGCGCGCTGTGATCTGCCTCCTCCCTCCTCTGTAGTCTGTGGTTCTCTACATACTAGAAGTAAAGGGGCTACCAGTTAGGAAAACACCTTTTTGCTGTGGATAGAGATTACATTGCCCCCTCTTAAGATGAACTTAAAAAAATTTTAATAGCTTTATTGAGATGTACTTTACATACCATGAAGTTCACCCATTTATTTATTTTTACTTTTTTTTTTTTTTTTTTTGAGACAGAGTCTCACTGTGTTGCCCAGGCTAGAGTGCCGTGGCATCATCCTAGCTCACAGCAACCTCAAACTCCTGGGCTCAAGCAATCCTTCTGCCTCAGCCTCCCGAGTAGCTGGGACTATAGGCATGCGCCACCATGCCCGGCTAATTTTTTTTTTTCTATGTATTTTTAGTTGTCCAATTAATTTCTTTCTATTTTTAGTAGAGACGGGGTCTCGCTCTTGCTCAGGCTGGTTTCGAACTCCTGAGCTCAAACAATCCGCCTGCCTCGGCCTCCCAGAGAGCTAGGATTACAGGCGTGAGCCACCGCGCCCGGCCTATGTTTACTTTTTATTGTATATACTTAAGATGTACAACATGATCTTTTGATATACATACTACAGTCAAGCAAAGTAGCATATCCTTCTCCTCATATAGCTCCTTTTTAAAAAAAATTTTATGGTGAGAGCACCAGAAATCTACTCTTGTTAGCAAATTTCCAGTGTATAATACAGTACTGTTAACTACGGTCATGCTGTACAGTAGACCTCTAGACTCATTCATCCCATGTAATGGCACCTGTACCCTTGCCCCCCATTTCCCTATTTCCTGCCCCTCCCCTCTCCTGGTAACAACTGTTCTACTTCTGCTTCTATGTATTTAAAAGTTCACCCACTTAAAGTGCATAATTCAATAAGAATTATTGAAATTCTTCTGTTATATTGGAATAGTGTTGTATTGAACACACTATATTTAAATTAGTGGGCCATTGGCCAAGGTACAGAAATCCTCCCCTTATACAATTCAAAAAGTTGTATCCAAATTTAATTTAGAGTAAGCTAACACACACACACAGAACAAAGAGTTGCTGCCAATCTGACACCACAACGTTTGAAGAAATATGTTGGGTGAGGGTTTAGAGCAAAGAATTTGGAATTTGTTTCTAAGTTTACCTAAAGGCCACAGTGCGGTGGAATAAATAAAATGCCAGATTATGTTCTTGCCGGAGACTTTTCAGATCAGAATATGCTCTGGTTGAAGAGTTTCTGGTTAGGTAGGATATTTATGTATCTGCTGTTTTAGTGGGAGTTGATAAGTACAAAGTGAGATACTGCATCATATCAACTCTGGGAAAATGTCAGCAGACACCTCCCCAGAGACCCAGTCATCTCTGGTTGGGGGCATGCATTGATCCATCTGTTAGCTTTTCAAAGTATGTCAAATATTTTAGGAGATTCCAAGGTAAAATCTGCTATTTCTTTTTTTTTTTTTTTGAGACAGAGTCTCACTGTGTTGCCCGGGCTAGAGTGCCGTGGCGTCATCCTAGCTCACAGCAACCTCAAACTCCTGGGCTCAAGCGATCCTCCTGCCTCAGCCTCCCGAGTAGCTGGGACTACAGGCATGCGCCACCATGCCCGGCTAATTTTTTCTATATATTTTTAGTTGTCCAATTAATTTCTTTCTAATTTTAGTAGAGACGGGGTCTTACTTTTGCTCAGGCTGGTTTCAAACTCCTGAGCTCAAACAATCCGCCCACCTCGGCCTCCCAGAGAGCTAGGATTACAGGCGTGAGCCACCGCGCCTGGCCTTAAAATCTGCTATTTCAATAGAAAGTTTTATATATTTTCATAGAATTTAGTAACACATAAATCAAAGTAACTTTTTGTATGTGTGTGCATGTGCACACACCATATTTACATAAACTCCACTACCGCAACATGATGTATGTGTCCACACATACCATACATAATTCATATATATACACACACTACATTCATGCATGGACTATATGTGCGACCAAACTCATATGTTCACAGTTGTCATGTATTCATAGAGATAGGCAATATATCATTTATTTAGGGCCATGACTACTCTTCCTAACATTTCAAAAAATTATGAAATACATACGTGTTCATTGCAAAAATGCAAACATTACAGAAGCACACAGAGTAGAAGTGAACGTTTGTTTTCATCTCTCCTGAGGAAGCTTCTGCTTAACATTGTCCTTCCAAACATTTTATATTTATTTATGGATATAATATATACAAGTTTAGCTTAAAAACCTGAATTGATTATATAGTTCATATTGTTATGCTATGTTTTTTAAAACTTAGGTCACGGATATATTTTAAATATTAATATCAACCTTGCTCTCTTTCTACTGATCTTTTAAGGAGTACACACGTGTGCACATACATGTATACACATGTGACCAGAGAATGTTAAGTCCTTAGAATGTTAAGTGTGGTCCTCTCTGGTTGGGGGTGTGCATTGATCCATCTGTTAGCTACTGAAAGTACCCAGAACACAGGCCTCACTGTCCATGGTTGCCGCTGTTACTGCTGCTACTACTATTAAAACTTAAGCAAACCTAAGCAAAATGTAATGAAAGATGGCAAGGATGCTGAAAAGTAGAATCCTAAAAAGTAAACTAGAAAACTAAAAAACGCTATTGTGGTTCATTTACCACATTTCTATCAAAGCAAATAATTGGGAGCTGGGTGCATAGCTGAATAAACATTGGTTATACTGAGGATGTTGGGCCAGGCCTGCTGGTTGCATTTCAGCCGAGTTGTGCCTGTCTGTGTGTAGGGGGAGGCGGTGACGAAGGGGACAGCTCATCTCTTGGCACTACCCTGTCCTCTTTACACAGCTGGCCCTGATAACCAAACCTCTCCCTCCCATGGTCTCTCCACCTCTCTCCTTTCTCTCTGGAATGTTCCCTCAAAGAGCAGCTATAAGGCCGATGAGCCAAGCAATCTCCTTCCCAGGCTATAATCTACAACTGTTCGTGACAGCACCTGCCCTCGGCCACTGCGTCCTCCCTTCTGGATTGTCATAAAGGGAGCAGGGATCCTGTTGATTTTTTCCTCATTCCCTACTTGTACTCTTTCCACAGCAAATATTCAATAAATGCTGTTGACTGGCTGGAAGAAATGGAATCCACAGCGACGTGCAAATGAACATGTGGCTTTTCTGTGGCCATTTACTGCAGTGGCCTTCATTAGAATCACCTGGGGATTCAACATTCTGATGGTCTGCTAATCAAATACCTGTCCTGCCCGCCTCCCTACTCTGGGACCAATTAAATAGGAATCTCTGGAGAGTGTGCCTGGGAATCTGGGAATTCTGATTTTATTGGTCTGGTGTGGGCTTGGAGTTGAGAGCAACTAACTGATTTACATCACCGTCACCACTGTGGCTGGAAGGAAGTCCCTTAGGATGTTGAGCGTGGTCATCTCTGGTTGGTGGGCGTGCATTGATCTATCCTTTAGTCATTTACCAGTTAACGAAGTGAGGGTGTGTCTGAGGGCTTATTATTGCAGGTCTGGCATTGTTTCAAGCATTTACATGCATTCGCATCGAATCCTGAAAATGGCACTGGAAAGACAGTACCATCAACATCCACATTTCATAGAAGAGGAAGTTAAGGTTTAGAGAAGTTCCATAGCGGACCAATGCCATAGAGTTAGAAAATACCAGGATGGGCCGTTTAGCCCTAATCCAGCTGTAGCTCTTAACTGTGACCATGCTATTTGCCGCAGCCAGGGTATTTTAAGTGACAGATTAAGCACTTTCTTAAAAACTCAAGTATCCAGGAATCTGAATATCGACTCACACGTTACCCAGGAATCTAAGAACTGTTTAGACCACGGGGTGTGTTACTATTTGATGACCTGCATTTGCTTGAAATTACCACCAGATGGCAGCAGACACTGTATATTTAAAACCTCGAAGTTGAAAACCACAACAAAATCCAATCTGGAGAAATGTCACATGCAGATAAGGTAGGAACGAATAACTGTTAGTCTGAAAGGATTGTATTTATTTGATTCTTTACCCAGCAGCCATCAAAGGATTTCTGTTTACACTATGGAAAAATTAGCAAGACCATGGGCTGCTGGTCTGACTGTAGGCGGGGAGGTGAGAGAAGTTTTGTGTTTCCGACCATTTTCCCTCTTGTCAGGGATTTCTTATGGTGTCAGTTGCTGGGCTTCGCCGTACCCTCCGTATTCTGGATCTGTCTTCTGTGGCTACCTTAATCCTGCTGTGTAACTCCATTTAAAAGGATTTAGCGCCTACTGAATGTATGGCACTGTTAAGGAGGTTGTATGAACTACACAAGGTGAACAAGAATTGGCAATCCATTTGGGGAAAGAAAATGAAAATACTTGAGACAATTAGATCTATGTAGAAGTGAGACAGGTGAAGTTTCTCTTGCTCATTGTTAGCTAATCTGATAATAGAATAATGTGGACTATTTATCTGAACTGGGAAAATACAATTTCGAGGTTGGAAGAGGCCTTGGAGATCAGTCGGGACAGTGGTTTCCAAAGTAGGGTCCCTGCACCAGCTTCGCTGGCTTCGCCGGGGAGCTTGTCGAGATGCACGTTGTCAGGTGCCACGCAGCTCTCCTGAAGCGCAGGCTCTGGGGGAGCCGCTGCCCTCCAGCTGATTCTGATCAGCTCAATTCCAGAACCACATGTTACTCTTCTTCCCTCTCCCCCTAGCCAATTTCATAGTTTAAGAAATCAAGGTCTAGACAGATTAATTTAACCAGGAAGACAGAGGAAAAATACCTTTCAAGAAGGCCCATGCCTGGGGTGTTGGGGGCTCAGCATTGGCTGCAGCCATGAAACATGGCAGGGGGCTCTGGATTAATAAAAGGAACTGTCCCCTTGGGCCTGGGGCCTGGGAGGG